CCCCGGGGGGCCCTGGTGACAACCGAAGCTCAGAGGAACAGGAGCACGATCAAAGAAGCTACTATGCCAACAAAAGTCTTGAGCTCAACTGCCCACCCCAGGCCACTCGCGAACCTGCCTCGGAGGTCGCGGTCCATGTCTGGGCAAGAGTGCAGCAGGGCAGCTAAGGCTTCCTTCCGTCTTCGTTGTGACTGGTCACGGCACCTGCCCGATCAAACACAGCCCAAGAGCACGCGCCATGGCTAGGGCGAATCGACAGCATCCCACATAAGCAGCGGGTGTGCGGTCTACCTCGGGCTAGACCAAGCACCATTCCATGTAGATGCATCGACATGCATCGACGCTCAATTCCTCGTTTGCGAGTTGGAATTGACATTGCCATCATGGTGTTTTCTGTCATGCTGCTCTATCAAGTCCTATCAGCAAATCTGAGTATTCCACAGTAATACGCCTGCATTTCTAATTAGTGACACCTGCTGCACAAGATCATCTGAGGAAACTGAGCCATCTTCGGAAGTTCGGCGACTTGAACTACTTCGTGGGCGGGGACAGGCGGCTTGAGCACCTACGCTGGACCAAGATGCACGGCAGCCGCACCTTCCAAAAATGCACACCAGCCGCGCACCATGTGCGCACGGATTTAGGCCGCATAACAAAGCAGCGCCCAGTCCTGCTCCCACTCCTCATAGCCCGCTTTGGTCATGGATTGTTACGTCCTAGCCTCGCTTTTTCCTACATGCGCACGCACACACGAACACACACACACACACACGCGCGCGCACACCGGCACACGCACACGTACACACGCACACGCGCACACATGCACGCTGGCACATACATACATGCATGCATGCATGCATGCATACATACATACATACATACACAGACATACATATACATATATTATAGACATATATACATGTATGTATGTCTGTATGTTTGTATGCGTGTATGCATGTATGCGTGAATGAATGAATGTATGTATGTATGTATATATGTATGTATGCATGTATGTATGTATATATGTATATGTATAAGTATATGTATATGTATATGTATATGTATATGTATATGTTTATGTATATGTATATGTATATGTATGTATATGTGTAGATGTATGTATATGTATGTATGTGTATGCATGTATGTATGTCTGTCTGTCTGTCTGTCTGTCTGTCTGTCTGTCTGTCTGTCTGTCTGTCTCCGTCTGTCTGTCTGTCTGTCTGTCTGTCTGTCTTTTTTGGCTCCCCTTGGCATCGTCTATATACATATATATATATATATGTTTTGTGCAGACACACGCCTTTACATATTTAGTAGGAATAAATACACACACATATATCTGTATATATACATATATATATATATATATGTATTTATATATATATATATATAAAATATCATGTGCATGTGTCAAGAAAGACCGACCGTTCCTCTCGTCTTAAGCCCCTGGAGTCTGCCAAATTGCTCGTTGTAGACGTGGGGGTCGGTGGGCATGAGGGACCGAGCAAATTCCTGGGCAAGAGCAAGTCGCAGGCTAGGGCTTTGGACGCTGAATAACCATAGCGGATCATAGATAACGGCGAACGGCGAGGTATAGACCAACACACAGCCAGTCGCATCAGCACGCATGATGATAAGATTGTTTGCCGCAACGCACTCTATGGCCATGAACACCACAATGATTACAATGGGTCGTATCATGCATCATCGATACTTTCGGGACCGGCTGCATCAGTAGCATCATTATATTCTCCTTCTTCATCACCATCACCATGAACATGCTCATTCTCATGAGCTTTATCACCATCATCATCGCACATATCCTGTCCGTCCTCGACATCTAAGTGCGTGTACGCACAGTAGTAGAACTAGAGGTAATCGCAGCCGCAGTAGTTGCAGTCGTCGTCCTTCTCGTCGTACTAGTCGTAGGGCAGGTCGCGGCAGCAGTAGCAGTAGCTGCAGGAGCGAATCAGGAGCAGGAGCTGTTGCTGCTGTGGTTGTCGTTGTTGTCGTCGCTGTTGTTCTCGTTCTTGTTATTGGTCCCATGTTTTGTTATTATTACTGATATAATTATTGCTATTGTTACCTTTGTTGTTGTCGTCGTCTCTGCTGTTGTTCTTGGTAATGGTATTGTTCCTGTTAGATCTGGTTCCTAGTTTTTTCTTGCTGTTATTGTTCAGGTTCTTGCTGTTGTTGATAATGTTGCTACTGTTGCTGTTGTTGTCGTGGTTGTGGCTGCGGTTGCGGTAGTGATAGTAGTAGGCGTCGTTGTCGTCGTCGCAGGAGCAGTAGCGGAAGAAGCAGTAGCAGCGGAAGTAGTAGTAGTAGTAGTTGTTGTTGTTGTTGCTGTTGCTGCTGCTGTTGGTGTTGGTGTTTGTGTTGTTGTTGTTGTTGTTGCTGCTGCTGTTGTGGTGGTTATTGTTGTCATTGTGGCTCTTCTTGTTGTTGTTGCTGATGCGGCTGTTATTGCTGTTGTTGTTATTGTTGTGGTGGTGGTGGTGGCGCTGCTGCTGTAGTAGTAGTAGTAGTCGTCGTCGTCGTCGCCGCCGGCGTCGTAGTAGCTGTAGTAGTGGTAGTAGTAGTTGTTGTTGCTGCTGCCGCTGCTGGTGCTGCTGTTGTTGTGATTATTGTGGTGGTTGTGTTTATTGTCGTTAGTGCTGCTGTGGTTCTGTTTTGTTTTGGTTGTTATTTATGGTTGTTGTTGTGGTTGTGGTTACTGTTGCGGCTGCTGCTGATGTTGTGGTTGTCGTCGTGATGACTAATGCGACTCCTACCGTGCTGCTGGGCTCAATTGGGGGATGCCAGTTGCGCAGGAAGCAATCATCCCCAAGCCAGACCTCATGAAAACATGCGCAGCCAAGACTCCAAGCATTGCTGTGCTAGTGGTAGAGAGTTGGTGCGCACGTACTCCATGCCTGTGACAGCTTCACATGTGACGCAGCATGACGCAGCTTTTATTGAAAAGGCGAAGCCATGCAGAAACTAACCAACAGTTCTTCCTATGTGGGTTGGGAAACAAGGCCAGGGCGGCTATCACAACAACAACGCGTCGGACTGGCCTATGAAGAGCCACGGCAGCTGTGACCCAGGAAACCTGTCAGGTAGCATCTCGAGGTTGCTATCTGTGGACGACTCCTGTACTCGCACGCAAGAGTTGATGTTCGTCGGCAGATCAGAACTCGCAGAAGTTTAATCTAGAGAGCAAAGGGAGCACACTTCCGCCAAGCGTCAAGCGGCTAGCTGTGCGATACCTCGGCCGTGCGCACTTGCGTAGCTACCCAAGCGCAGAGTTTTCTTCGACCTCAACCAAGCACTTGCCGACTAGTACGGGCTATAAGCAAGTGCAGGGTTCAGGAGTACATATTGTAAATGCAAATATATATATATATATATATATGTATATGTATGTATGTATGTATATGTATGTATGTACTTATGTATGTATATATATATATATATGTAGATGTATGTATGTATGTATGTATGTATGTATGTGCATATCCACAGATGCAGACGTACGAAATGAAGAACTAAGTTCCACAGCATGCAAGACAATCCCTTGCAATTCCGGCCGAGAAATCAACTCCTCTCACATGTCAACGCTGCCCAAGACAGGAACAGGGCCAGCATCAGCAGCATCAGCAGTAACAGCAAAAAAGTTTCTCGTGCCGAAGCCCTGGCAAGCGATGTAAATGGAAGACTCGAAATCTACAACCCCCACCCCCTCCCTAGAATCCCAGGCTCACGTTATGAGGTTTTAGAAATAAAGCTACTCGCTCCAGCGGAACTCTCGTGATTGATGACGCAACAGGTGCGTGCATGTCAGGTGTTGACGCCTCCCAGATCTTACCACTAAAGCCCGTTGGTACTGAGTACATGTTGGTTCTTGCACGATCTGTGAATTCCTGGCTTTGTAAAGAAGGATGACAAAACGGGCTGATAGAGTGTGAAGACATCTTATCTTAAAGCCCATCGACCTTTTGTCAATGCCGCATGCAGCTTCGGGCCACGAAGAGCAGTGCCACACTGGACAAAGGCAAGTATGAAGCGGAGCCCTGCACTCGCTGTAGCCTCGAAAAGCCTGGAAGTACTGCAACACTGGTACACTGACAAGCCCTCAAGTGACACTTCTCGGCAACCCAAATGATTGTGGCCCTTGCTGCAACAGAACTTGCAGCACACAGAAAATGGATGCTGTCGAGGCCAGTGGGGAACCCGTAGTCACTTTGATTCTTGCAACAAGTCATCACGCACCTGCACATTCTGATCCTTCCCTTCCCTGGAAACCATACAGGATAAGACGAGCCTGTTTGCCTGTTGTGCCAGAAAAATGCATTCTGACTCCTCCCACAGCTTGCAGTTTGTGGCACTCTAGCCTATGAACCTACTCCTTCCAGCCCGGGATCTCCACATGGCAGCGCAGCATGAAAAGCACACTATTGATGGATGTTGAGTGTACAGCCGCCGGCTAAGTCACAGGTCCGCGCACAATTTGCCCTTCCCGGTCATTATGCCAAACATGCCTGGCGTAGATCCCAACATGCGCATTCATCGAATCCAAGAGTGTGAATCCATGTGAACGTCGACAGACTTGAAGTGGCTCGAAGCACATGGATCAGCTGACACACGTCTTGAGCTTGGGGTTGCCCGGCACTTACGGCAACAGAAATTGCTGCGAAACCCCATCTAGCACACGTAAACACATCTTGGAAGGAGTTTAGACATGGTGGTAGACAATGGTAGCTGCGATCAGTTTCGTAATGCTGGCGATGATGATTCGGCGAGGAGACATCAGGCAGAACCCTGGAAATCGCAGTAATCGTGCTCAAAGCGTGGTGCACGCGGCTGTGCCACCACGCCACCAAAAAACTTGAAACCTACCGGCAGCCAAAATCTCTTAGTGTCACCATGATCGTCATAGTGTTCACTAAGCGCTTGTGCGCTAGTTAACTATTACAAGCAACACCGGTCTCGGCTGGTCAGGTAACCCCTGGGCTTTAGCCGGAGATCCGCTTGTAGCCCTCACCCTCTGTCGTGAGCATGGGGTCGAACCATGCGGCCATGGAGAGGATGCCTCAGGTCGGGACTCGAGTCGTTCGACGACGTCAGCGTCCGCGCTCGAACATCACATGCAAGGCCCCACGTCGGCAAATGGTCCACGCGCAGAGCAATTCCTGACCTAGATCTAGCATACTGAGCTCGAGTCGTCTACTCCTCAGGGCAATCGTCCATGTGGTGCAAGCCAGAAAAGACAATCAGCATCCGACGCAGCCCACACAGCGAAAAGACTCGCAGGCAAGCGGCCAATGCCCACTACACCAATGAGATGGTTGAAGGGGGCTGGGAAGGGACCGCCAATGGTCAATGCCTGAGGGGAATACAGTTGGCGGCTTCATTCAGATCACCCGAAACAGGCTTATACACAAAGACGCCATGTGATGCCATGTGGCTTTAGATCTTGGCTGTAGCAGGAGCACAAGATTGTCGTAACGAACTGGCATAGACACAAACGATGTGTCGGGCGCCTGGTGGCGCCGTTGTCGTTGGAGGGTCAGACCGTGTATTGGTGCTGCTGCACTTCCTGTTGCTGCTCTGCTCGTGCTACTGCTCTGCTGCTGGGAGTGATGGTGGAAGTGACTTCTGGACGTGATGCACCTGCTGCTGCCACAGGAAGCAGAAACAAGGCCCCAAAACCAACCGCCAACCCCAACCACAACCGGAAGCTCTGGAACCTATGCAAATCCCTTCGTCAGCTACCTCGGCCCACGTATTTCGTGCCTTGGACAAGCATCGACATCATCATCGCTTTGTCTTCTTCCTGTTAATGTTAATGTCATCATGGCTATTTCAAAAAAACCAATACAGCCTCAGGTGTTGCAAGGGAGATGTGAACGGAGCTGACCGCGGAGGCGCGGCTCTGATCTTGCCGGTGGTCTTGTGGTTGTGGTTGCGGTCACAGTGGTGGTCTTCGTGCTCGTGATGTCGTTGCCACAAATATAGTTCTGATACGGTGCTACAGATAGCACCACGGTTAACATACACATCGCTATTGAAATTGCTAGTGTTGAAGAAGCTTCAGTTGTTAGTAGTACTTCTCGATTACCTTATCGCTGCGATGTCCGTGCCCTTGTTCTGTTGATGTCCTACTATGACAGTGGCAGAATGATTATCCTTGTCCTGCAGAAACTGCTGGTGCTGCTGCACTACTGCTGTTGCTATATAGCTTTCCTCCGGTTTCCGGTGATATAGTTCCGGGCAGCAGCAGCAGCAGCAGAAGCAGGAGGTGGTGGTGGTGGTGGTGGTGGTGGCGCGAACGGCAATTGCTTGTAGTGTTTGGGAGACTGTTGCTGGGAGGACAACTCCCAGAACTCAGGCAAGCAAAGCCAAGAAGCTGCATCAGAGGCTGCGACGACAAGTGTCGCCGGGGCGAAGACGCGGAGAGCGCTGGGCTGAAAGAAGAAGAGGGCCAGAGTGCCCACACCTTGCACAAAGATGCGTTTGGGTAACATCACGACCTCACAAACGAATCAAGTCCCGTTGCTTTTTGAGCATGCTAGCATGTCTGGGAGGCTGCTATTGCTCCCATACGCCACACCACATCTCGAAATGAAACTGATACTTTGAAATGGCTTGGTTCCAGCCTTCGTCGGACTGAGCAGTCAGCCAACGAGCGGAAAGACACTGAGTGCTGTTCTTGCAGAGGTGAATCAACCACACAAGAAACACCATGTAGGCCCGCCGCATCCCTGACTCAAAAAGCTACAGTTTTTGATCCTTTGCCCGGAAGCAGCACACCCCGAGCCGGTACACAGGCAAGTCGGAGAGGTAAGGCCCAGTTACCGAGACAAAGGTCACGCACGCCGGCCACCTTCACCTGTTCTGGACTCTTTGGGCTGTGCCTCTCCGATATGTGTTCAGATGCGCATGGCGAGTGTGATGGTAATTACGTTGTTTTATCGGAACGGCGAGCAGTCCGAAGTCAGCCTTAGCATACCCAGTGGCAAAGTGTGAATGCGCTCCGTCTGCACGATGGTTAAGGGGTTGCAGGGGGGGGGGGGCGGGCGGGCTATGCGAATACCTGGGAACTTGAACTCAGAAGCTTCTAGCTGCTGCCAGCCCCGCGAAAACCTTTTTGAGTGCTGGGGCAGCCGGCCTTATAATACGCATGACCCACCAAAAAGCCTATCTCGATTTGCAAATTGTGAGTGTCGCAACCAAGTTCCACTCTGACCTTCAACCAGGACCGAGGGGCCCAGCTCAACGCAGGGCTGGATGCCTCCAAGGGCATGCCGTACCTTGCTTCCGTTTCAGTTCATGATCTCAAATCACCCGAAGGCTGAAGACTTGCAGGTTTGCGGCTTTGGCCGCCTTCACGGGGTTGGATCCCGAAATCAAGTTTGCCGTTTCATCTGTATGCCTTCGTTTCGAGGGATTCGGTCTTTCATGTCAATAGCTCCTGCCCAAAGAAAACCCAGTTTCCGCAAAAAGTCTATGTCCAAGTATCTTTCAAAACACAAGCTGCGACTCTCTCCCAATCTGTGCACCGAGGACGAAATAAGCCAAAATCATGCGCTTAAGCCTACGCCTGGAAAGCGAATTCCACAGACCTTCCTTAGCCCTGTTTCTTGCAGTCTGAGCGCATCTTGGAGGATGACACAGGGTCCGCCAAGCAGCCAGCCCCGAGCCCTTGCCAAAGAGAGAAAGAGAGACAGAGAGAGAAAAACAAACACAACTAGAGACCCAGTGTCCGAAAAAACATCTAGCACATAACGTCATCTCATCATTCATTTCATCCATCCATCCATCCATCCACCCACCCATCCACCCATCCACCCATCCGCCCATCCACCCACCCACCCATCCACCCATCCACCCATCCATCCATCCGCCTTCCCATCCAATCACATCCCATCCATCCGTCCATTCTATCCTTGCTGCTAATGTAAGGTCCTGATCAGATTAGTCTGCTGGTCCCCAATTATGCGCAGCTTTCTTCCTAGCCTGATCCCCGGCATGACGACTATTAGTAATATTCACAGACTACTAGTAACAATACTCTTTTTGAACCCAGACTCAAATCCTGCATCAGTTGGGAATCGGCACTCTTACTAATACAACTACCAATACTAACTCTAATTCTCTGGATGGCCCTGAGGCCAAAACTGCCTGGTTCCGGACTAAACCGCTTATGCGAGGAGGCCAAGCCATCGATTCTCCATAGCTGGTCTCCGCTACTTTTGGCCCATACCTAGTCCAGTAGTGAACGCTACGGAGTTTAAAGGGCTGTAGCTGCAGCTATTGCTGTGTGCTTTCTGTTCGTGCTGAGGCCCTAGTCCCACCTAGGGCGGGGGGGAGTGCAGGCTGATCAGAACAGCTAGTAGTGGTCGCGCTTTCTTGACAGCTGGGCTGAGAAGAAGCCACTTGGTGATAGAGAGTGGAATCTTGCAAGGCAATCTTGCAAGCCTTCTTGCTGCACAGAGAGCGATTTGCAAAACCCTTCTTTAAACCCTTCATAGTCATAATCCTTCTAGAATATACCCCTCGATAAAGCCCTCCTAAATCGCAAAGTCGGTTCCATTCAACAGGACATAACGCGGGAGAACGAAGTGAAGCAAGTCCCGAGGACCAAACCATGCTGCAAGGCACACATGTTTATTTCTTCTGCTGTTCATGCGGACATCTTGCGACAGGCGATCACAATTTATGTATGAGATCCTACAGTCCCACACACGCAGAGATGCGTGGCAGTGCGTGCTTGGGGCTCAAAGCTGTCACAGACTCGACCCTAACCCTCTCCCGGGCCCCTGCATCCCGGGCGCCGAGTCTAGCCCTTCCCTGCCTGAACTTCCTCCGAACCTGCAAATTTGGAAATGTCAATCGCTTCAGATCGCTTTCAAAGCCTTGCCTACGAGGCCGACGCCCAGACCTCGGTGGATGTAGATGTATATCTTGACATCATCGGTCAGCAGATGAAGCACAAGCTGCTGTTTGACAGGCCCGCTAAGGCTCGTGCCTAGGGTCTGGAGCAATGTATTCCGTAGTCTTGAAGGTGCACCGTTTTTTAAGTGTTCCGATAGGCGGCCCCCATACTTACTGAAGTTATCCACCCATTGTCTCTTCTCGGTTCATTAAACTCAACTCATCTGTTTCGATGTAGCTACCAGCAGCAACGCCGCATTCGAGCTCTGTCTCTGCAGCCGAAACCTTAGACTCAGTGAGCCAAAGCCTAACAATTACTGCTACCGGACAAGGCGTCGCTCGTTGCGGCAGCGCAGGAGGGCATTGCGCGGTCGCGCACATGCAGCGGACAGGTCCTTTATGTGATGGTATATGGTATACATGTACCGGCCAAACGTGAGTTTGCAACTTGACCGTGCAAGTGCAGGGCTTGCACTTCTGGTCCTGTCAGCATCTTCACTCCGTCCATGATGAGGGAAGGTGTAAGTGACACGTCAAGCCTCTGGATCCCTGGTAGCTGAGACTCGACACCTCGATCTCCGTTCCCTCATTCAGAGCCGCAAAGCGCAGCCAAGGAGCAACAAGCGCCAAGTTGGAATGTGGCGTGCACAATGCGCTCGCGCGGAGAGAGAGCCATGGCTGCAGCACGTCTCTTTTGCAAGTGTATGCGAGTAACCATCCAGAGCTGCGAATAAACTGATAGGAGTAGCTAGTGTCGGGATCTTGAAATAGCGTCATGGTCTATGCTTCGGACCGCTAGACACCAAAGCGTAGGGAACATCTGCAGAGCTCACGACCCACTTAGATGCGCTGCAACGTGGCACTGATTTAGTTGCTTGATTGTTTCGTATGTGACATGCTTTCTACAATCAACTGCCAGGGTGAAATGATGATTGCAGCTTTCGTGTTTGCAGACATGACCGGCATTCACACCGGCTTGGATTGTTGTACACTTGCAGAAATAAACGTGCAACTCGCAAGGGGGGGCGCTCAAGTGGATGCACGCAGAAGAAGCTCCTGCTCCTGATAGCTCCTGTTGTGCATGTCCGAAAAAACTCTTCCAATCCAACCCGGGGCTGAAGCCCCGAAAAGGCTCGGGCTGACGCTGCGCCTTGTTGCAACTGCTGTTTAAGTTAAATGACTGGCAGCAAAGGTGCGCTGCCAGTGCCTGATCGCTCTCGTCGTGGGAAGCAAAGGCATGGCCTGGGAATTCAAGCTTGCGGACTCGCAAAAGTCGTACATGCGAGGCGAGACTTATTTGGCTGTTTTAAGTGTGTTGATCCTGGCACTCCAAGATTGCCTGCGCAGGCACGCACTAGGTGAAACGACCAAACCACTTACCACATCATGTGGTCGCCGACTACATTCATGTTGACATGGGCCTGCATGTAGTCAAAAGCACGCTTTGAAAGACAAGGGCATCCGACACCAAGGCCTTGGAGCTACTCTTGCATGGTCTCTTTCCACTTCGTGTCTTCCCAGCTTAAATGGAACTTGTGTTCGTCAACATTTCTTAATGCCCAAACGCCCCGATGCTGATGACCTGCGGTGATTTCTCTGAGAGCACCGGCGTCCATACTTTCCCTTACTCGCGTGGTTCAAAGAGTGGCGCCTCTTTCGTTTCTGCAGTCGCAAGGGCTTGTGCCTGTGCTTTTAGTTGGCATGGCACCAGTGAGTCTTGAGGTGGGTGTTTTGCCAGGTTTGGGTTTCCACAGGCACTTGAACACCGTGGAGTGGCTTCTGGCGGGCTTTCTTCATCGATAGACGGAAGCGTTTCCCAGCCAGATGCATGCAAACTTACGCCAGAGACATCTTTGCACGTGAAACTTCCAAAGGCGGCACTTGCTTCCTCTAGCCTTCCTGAATGCCACTGAAAGGAGGAAACAGTGCCACAAACAATGGTCGCAAGTAGACAGCAGGTTTCCCGACTAAACGAATTTCGCAGACCCCTGAAGGCCAACTGCCGGTGTGCATGGCACTTTGCCGAGCGCTAAAATGATGCCAGATCCAAGGCACCGAAAGCGATCCAGGCGGGAGCGAAGGCAGAGTCCAGGGACAAAGCCTGCAAAGGCTCTGCAGGCAAGGCCTGGATCCTCTCTTCTCGGGAAGCGGATCTACGGAGTTTCGGGTCTACTTTTGATGGGGGACCGGTCAGCGAAGCTACGAGTAGCGTCTTTGCGACGCGGACCGATTCTCAGACTCCCCGTTTCGTGTCACACACAATCTTGAGAGCTGTCGTCGCAGTTCGAGTGACAATCGGTCGATCATCTGTCCGAACATATGTTCCTGCATGTAATAATCGTATTTATCTTCACGACCAGAGCACAGGCGGGAGATTTTGTCATTTGGCGACATGGATCAGGTAGAAGATCATTCGTATGGACTTGCCTTGTACACAGAACATGTCCCAAGCTTAGATTCTTGAACAGATCAAAACGGAGAGTGGCGGGTGAAATACGGGACGGATCCTCTTGCAGTCTAGAGCTGGCAGATGAGCATTTACCGAAGTCTTGTCGCCGACAGCCGGCCATCTTCAGCCTAAACGAGAAATCTAGCAAATCATCCTGATAATCTGCAGGCCAATGCTATCGATGCAAACACATGTCATGTCCTGATCCGAGATCCGTCGGACAGCATGGAGTTAGCATGGCTCTGGCTGGCCTTGTGCAAGAACCGCCTCGCGAGCTCGTACCTGAAAGGCTCAAGGATTGCACCGATGGCTGCAGCATCTTGCTATCGCCTTGTGCCAGGCTCCAAATGGTTCGGGTTGTTTGCTATGGTTTGCTGCAAGCCCTCACGAATTTGATTGACTGAAGTGGGGTGTCGACTCGGGCACAGGTTGTTTCCATGAGAGGTTCTTGGACTGTGTGCTGGATCCACTTGAGGTGGTGCCCCGAAACCATCCAATCAAAGCATATACGTTGGGGCAATTGCGATGCCCGATAAATGACATGCACAAGCAGAAGGAAGTATCACCCGGTGTTGGGACGCCGGCAAACCGAACCCAAGGCTGTTGTTGGGGCATCCCACAAGCACGATGCTGTACTTCGCGATTGTTGTTCGGAGGGGCCCTGGCTTGCCTCTCCATTGATCTCTAGCTGCAGACAAGACTCTTCCTGATCATGTAGTAGTAGCAGCCTGCACACCATGGGCATGTGCAGGCAAGCCTGAGGTTTACACACATTTATTGCGTTGCATCAGCAACTCATATGAGGGTCCACAGCTTCCCGGGCCCTGATAAGTCTCCACCACGCTGGCCAAGCACAGCTTACATGATGTAGGTGCGCTACGTCTCAACGAACCAACGAGACCACACTGTTAAGCTGGTCAACAAGCATCGCGGCCCCAGCATAGACTCACTAAGCGAAGTGTGCATGAAGATGCAGACAATTATCCAGTCTATGACTACAGGAGAGTACACGGACGGCACAGGTTGTTCCGCAGCGGATGTCGCAGCAGGGTTAACCGCTGCTTCGCTATCGGTACCGGGCGACTTTCGTGATGACCATGTTGGCATCACTACGCTCATTCGCATTTGCCCGTACAGCTGCATGACACTCTCGAATTGTCAGGCTACCAGGCAGAACCCTCAATAGCTTCGCTTTCATCACGAACGCAGGCGGCCTGCAGTGAACCAGGCCACCGCTGCTGTAGGATAAGCATTCATCAGCTGGTGCGCAACGTAGAACACCACCTTTACCGACAGGAATCTGTGTGGCACGCAAAGTAATCCCAAAAAGGTCGCAAGGAGCAGCATCCTGCAGCCAGCTGCGGTAGTTAACAGCTGCACTTACCCATCACCTATACCAACAACAATCCTGAACTCCTTGCCAGCCAATCTCGACCTGGACAAGATCTTTAAATCTGAAAACTTGCATCATCTGCAGATAGGTATCGTTGGTCATGTTCAACATCACCAGTGAAGATATATGTACCTGGGCCCAGTCGAGAGACGTGCGGAAATGGCGTGCGCAGAGAAGTTTTGCAGGAGTTCAGAGTTTGTGGCGACGAGCCTGACAAACCCTACATCCTCAAGAACAAGCCAGCATGGAGGCAGCGAGATGCAGCGAGTATACAGTATGTTGTGAAAAGGCTAAGTGCCTTTTGCGCAGCCACGACTGAACTACCGGCGACTACCGACTCGCACTCGTGCCACTCTGTTTTGTGTTGATGCAACACGCTATAAATCTGCCGTGGTGCCGGTAGGGCCGCCAAATGGTATGGATCGTCCTGCTTCAAGATCGAGGATGTGGTATGTAGGTTGCGTCCATGGTTATTAGGGCCCGCATCCGTACAGTACGACATTCATGCATAGTGGAGCGGGTTAGCAAATATAATATGGTTGGTGACAAGGTGTTTGCAGTCTTATTAGGCTCGTAAATGGCGCGGCGGAGGCTCTACGTGGATTCCTGCAATGTCACTTGAAGGTACTAACTCGAATCAAATTGACCTGGTGGCGTATTGTTTGACAGCTATGAAGAGTTCTATTCTATATAGACTAGGTGACCGAGAATAGCCGCGGCATGATATTGGCAACGACTAAAGTGACAGATCTGACAAGCCCGGCCAGAACGAAGCACAACACCAGCACAACCCGGAAGCGACTTGGATCCTGTGCAGATCGGTCGAGTGCATCAACGACTGTAGTGGCACCATGCTCCGGCGGGGAGCAATGCGGAGAAGGGGCGGGGTGGGCATGAGCGGGGTGGCCGGGCTACGGAGGATGAGCGTTCATGGAGGGTACGCGCGGGGTACGCACGGATACGCACGGGGTACGCCTCCCACGTACCCCGGTTGTTTGAGAGACTGCTTGCCAAGTAGTAGCTCGCCTGCTTGATAACTTGTCATCCCATGCACCCATCTATGCATTAATGTGCTATCCATTGCAAGTACGGACAACAAACATGCGCGATTTGATAGAACCAATTCTCCGAAGGGTGTCGTTTCAGAGTATTTGGTGCTGTCAAACTTGTGCGTGAGCTGGGCAACCCGAAGCCCCCAACCCTGATAAGGCCCCAACCACCGAGACCAAGAGAGACCCAAGGTGGAGCTAGGACCTGGGGATGTCCTACACTCTCAGCCTTACGGCTCAAAGGCAATCCTGTTGATACGCCTCCCAGCGTTCTGAATCGACAAGCAGGTCCACCGGATCCAGAATCTGCAATGGAGTCGCCGGGTTCTGACAGCTAGGTCCGGAATGAGGATTTGCAACCTGTGCGTTTTTCGAGGATGCGGACAGCGAAGACCGGTTCGATAACACCACTTTTTCTTATATATATATATATATAACGTATACAGAGGGTATTATATAAAGGGACATTCCAAAAGGTATTTTACAGCGTATTCAATTCCAGATGGCGCTTTATCATTCTGTTGAAGCTTCTGATGTGCATGTTTGGCTGACTCAGGCGTTTGTGAAGATTCACGTTAGGAGAAGGCCATCATGCATGATCTACGTAGACTCCAAACTTGCATGAAGATCATGCATACATGACGTTTGTTGCAGTCTGAGAAAAATTCGATCGTCCATGGGAAGCCTGTAAGCCCTTCTGGTGTCTCAAGCCTTCTACAGGTTATGAGCGCCCAACTACGTTTAAACCCAGGATCGCAAGCTGGAAGGCCCAGCGTACTGGAAGGCGAGAGCTCAGGACCGGCTTATGGTGCAGCAGGACGTGGGGGTGAGAGTGCTTCGTCATCTGCCCTTCCGAACGGAGTGACTGCAAGAGAAACAGCTGTTAGTGTGGATGCAGGGCATGCGAGAGTGGAGAGCTCGGGACTTGAGCCAACCGGACCGGTCGTTACGAGTACGGACGGAACTTCGGGTTTAGGGGTTGAGGTACAAGACACCAATTCCCAGCAACCACAGCAGCCCCAGCAACCAGAAACACCACAGCAGCGAACAAACCCAGAGCAGCAACGACTTGCAACGCCGGCAGCTCAGTCTAATCTGGAACAGTCTCCAACGCAGCAAGATGTAGTACCAGTTCGTGACGCTCACCGACAACCCCAACTACATGATCGCGTGGCAGATGGTGTTCAGCAAAGAGCACATCAGTCGGTTGTGAGACGTGAACTGGTTGAGGAGGTACATGTGACCCAGCCAGCCTATGCAGACAACAACCTTACAGGAGGCGAAGATCAAAATGGTGCAAGGGCCTGGTTTGCGCGGGTGAGTGAGGTGATCCAAAGGCGAGTGAGTGGTTACTCCATGTTACTCCAGTGATGGAGCAAGTTCAGTCACAAGGACGCCAGCCTCAGATGCGCGGAGGACGGCCTCTCCAAGCCGAGGCGTCACCTCAGTCGGTTTGGCACTCGCAACCGGCAACACCAACGGCGTCGCAGGATCCCCTTATGCCTCAAGAGGTTCGGGAGGCTATGTCGGCGTGGACGCAGAGGCCTTCTTTGCTGACACCCAAGCCGAGGAGGCAAGCGGAGGAATCGTCTAATGCCTCCCTCAGCCAGGAAGTGATTATGGAGGAGGTGCGAAAGCAGGTTAAGGCAGCTCTGGATGAACGCGAAAGTGAAGTGAAGAAGTTGTATGATGAAAACCAAGAGCTGAAGCAGGTCGTGTTTGCCTTGCAGCAGGAGATGAGTGAGGCCGTGAATGACAGGGAGCCACGGACCTTGATGGATGGAAGTGCGGGACCTCGAGGCATGGAACCTGGGGGCAATCCCGCTCTTGAACATCAAGGGGCACCGATGCATGTACGGCCTCCTCCTGGACTTCCTGCACAATCTTCTGTACCTGGGGGTGAACTTCTCAGTCAGGGAGCTGGTGAAGCACTTCCGGGTCGTAATAGGCCCTTTGAGAAAGTGGCGGAGGGCGATGGTCGCAGAGAACGACTAATTCCTCCTGCTGGACTTCTGGCACAATCTCCTGTACCTGGGGGCAATCCTAAGGAGCCTGGCCGCGGTGAGAGCAGTCAAGAGTTCCAACAAGGACCCATGGGTATGAGTGGACACAGCGAAGGAATCCGTCACGAAGAAGGTGAAGGACCTGGCGCGGGTGCTACGCTTGGAGAGGATAATGCCATGGTGGACCATTTGCACCTTCTGGTGCAAGGAATGAGACAACTTCAGCAGCTCCAGATGAACCGCAAGGACCACGGTGAGGCCGAGGCTGTGAAGGGGAGTGTTGAATTGCAGCGAATGCCGGAACCGGGGGATGCGGCGGTGGAGTTCAATGACTGGATGTACATAACGGAGCAGCAGTTGGGGGCCCTGACGGACAACGCGAGTTCATGGTTCTCCAAATGCTTGTCCTGCGCAAGAGAAGCTTATGTACGCTATCAAGGGGCCTCAGCTTTAGAACGCCTGAGTGTGACTCCGGTGTTGACAGAGGACCTCAAGGGTGAGAAGTGGTTCCGGCTGGAGCGTCGGGTCCTGTCGCTTCTCCTTGCAGCCATGCCGAAGGCTGTACGGGAGGACACAATCACACACAGAGTGGAAAGCGTTGCAGGAGTACTTTTTCGCCTCCACGTCATCTACCAGCCGGGCGGGACAATGGAGCGGACGGCCATCCTGAAGCACTTGGAGGGTGCCCCTGGCTCGGATGATCCCGGCGAAGTGGTAGCTCAGCTGCGAAGGTGGAGGCGCTACTTGGCCAGGGCCGAGGAGATGTCGATCGCTTTGCCGGATGCGAGCTTACAGCTTCGAGGGATAGAGTTGATTGTGGCCAAGGTTTTGGAGAAGTTCGCGGACGTGAAGTTTAGATTGGCCCTGGCAAGAAATGAGCTCAGGCTTTCCTCGTCACCTACCTCGGACACGGTGTTGAAGTACTACCAGCACGCCTTGGCTGAGCTCCAGCAAGTGACCCCAAATGTGAAGAACAATCAAGAAGGAGCCCGGCTAAAGGGAGCGAGTGCAAACGCAACGACATCATCAGGGACGGGAGGTTCGGGATCTCCCACTGCGTCGCCAAAGAGAGGCAAGAACCCCTGCAAGTTCTTTCAGAGTGAGGCTGGGTGCAAGCGAGGTGCCAACTGCAGCTTTGCCCATGAGTTTCTTTCAAAGGCTGACCGCAAGCAACGGTGTTGGACTTGTGGCGCGGCCGGCCACCGCCAACAGAACTGCCCCACAGTCAGTGGAGAAGGGGGCAAGGGAGGTGGAAAGCACCAGGGCCAGACGTCTTCGGCACCCTCGACGAGTACGGTCACGGCGGCCAGTATGCAGTCAGCAAGCACTGAGGCAACCCAGACAGCTCAGGCTACCTCTACGGCGGCATCCTCCACTACCACATCGGCTACCTCGCCACCGACAGGAGACGAGACAGCAGCACATCGAGAAGAGATGAAGAAGCTTCTCAAGGAGGCGAGCTCTATGCTCAGTAAAATCCAGCTGATGGCAGCGCGGGTGGAGGACACAAACAAGGCCACCGAGGACTTGGAGTTGTTGTTGAGGTCGGCTGGAATGGACCAACATGGTTTAGCCCTACTGGACTCTGGCGCTTCACACCCTTTTCGCAGTCCCGTGAGTGCCGGTGAGTTTGATCAAGCAACCAACGTTGGGGTGGAGTTGGCGGACGGTCAGATGGTGGAGCTCAGACAAACCACCACAGGAACGCTCCTAAGGGAAGCCGGGAGCAGTCCACAAGCTCCCATAGTCCCACTAGGTTCTCTAGTGCAACAACTCGGCTGTTCGGTCAGTTGGTCGAGGAAGCGCGGTCTTCAAGTGGTACATCCAACTCACGGGGACCTCAAGATTAAGATGAAGGGCAGTTGTCCGTACATCTCGGAGATGAAGCGCTGCGCCTCATCGCAGAGATTGAGGACAAGAGTTTGGAGAAGCTACAACAGGCGACTGTAAGGAGCCTGTGGTCGTCTTCATCTACTACAACCGCCGTGCCGTGGACCACAAGCCTTGATGCCTACGTGAATGACGGAAAACGAAGCAGCGCGTTGATGGCGACGATGGATGTAAATTTCCCTATATCCTTGCATGGAGACTAGTTCGGAGAGATTTGGGTTTGTGGGCCCAGCGGATTTGGACTTGAGCGACAAGGCGGGCTTGAACTACCTGAAGGCCCTGCCGGTGAACAGGAAGGCCAGAAGAAGGTTGCAGGGGTCGCGCTGGATAGTCCATCTCTACGACGGAAAGAACGAGACTGCCTCCGAGGAGTTGAAGAAGCTTGAGACTGAGAACGCTGTGGTTCTGGAAATTGACCTGCAGCGATCTAAGGTGTACAACATGACGGGTTGGAGCAACATCATGAGGGCTTTGCTGTGGGCCGGATGTCGTGGCCAGCTGGAAGGCCTTTTGGGAGGCCCCCCGCGAAAGGGTGGCGATGAGCTGAGACACAAGCTGATGTATTTGTGGATGGTGGCAGAAAGGGGTGCAGCAATCCGCAACCTGAGAAGGCCCTTCCTGTTCATGGAGTACCCGGGTAAAATGGATTTCTGGAGCCTCCCAGAGTGGCGAAACTTCCGAGATGAGTACCAGCTTTCGCATGTGGAGGTGAACGCGGGACATGGTCATGTGTTTCATGGGGCCACCAACATGAACTTCAGAAGCTATTTCAAGAACACCGAGATCCCCAAAGGAGACCCTCCAACAACATGGACTACAGCCTTTATGAAGGAGATCCTTGAAGGGGTGAAGGAATGGATCAGGTGGCCAGATCAAGTTCGACAAGCACAGCTTCTTTGCAAAATGGACGGCAGTCTTGAAGAAATGAGCGAGAGGGAGCTCAAGCAATGGGCCAAGCACGTGAGGGATGGTCACGTGCCATTCAACAAGCGATGCCGAACCTGCGTTACAAACGCAGGTACGGGAAGGCCACACAGACGGGTCTCGAACCCTTCGGCCCATGTCCTAAGTGTGGACGTGGCGGGACCGTTTCGACAACGAGGAATTGATGCCGACGGCAAGTACCGCTATGCCCTAGTGGGATCCTACTGTATGCCAAGGCTTGAGGGGTACAAAGACGTGGACATCTCTCCAGTACACCCAGAAGCCGATGGAGAATGTGATCCAGGTCCACTACACCCAGAAGCTGATGGAGGACGTGATCCAGGTCCAGTACACCCAGAAGCCGATGGAGGACGTGGTCCAGGTCCAGTACACCCAGAAGCCGATGGAGGACGTGATCCAGGTCCAGTACATCCAGTAGACGATGGAAGAGGAGTAGGCCCAGTGTTCCAGGAAGATGATGGTTTCTTGGCCGAGGAGGAGGAGCCTGAACCATTTCCAGAGGAAGATCGGATGGATCTGGACCAAAAGAATGAGGACTACTGCAAGATGTACAAGGAAGTCTTTGACCAGGTGGGCGACGAGATGGAGTTTCAAACCTTGCTCTATGTGGTACCTTGAGATCGCGGCAAAGGTTGATGTGAACGCAGCCATGAGGCGGATGTACCTACAAGTTCGTCAAGAAGGACATCCCATCACCCGTGTCCACTCGGACCGCGCGAGGGAACTGAAATCTGCGGCTCTCCGGCAATGGCTCTACGAGAAGGACGTTTGGATCACTACTGGTGAATCGCAGACACCTCAACAGAATGGCAGGGCCGAGGCCATGGTCAGGAGTGTGAAAAGGTATGCAAAGGTGCTGTTGGGAGCCTCTTCATTACCGAGAGAATGTTGGCCCTTGGCAATGAGTTATGCTGCTCAACGGCAAAGAAAGCGATCGTTGGGACAGCCTACTACCAAGGACCCCACCTTCGGAGCCAGGGTCGCAGTGAAGTCAAAGGTCTTTGGAACTGGAGGATCCTATGATCTAGACCCTCGGCGCGAAGGTCGGTTTGTGGGCTACAGCAGTGACGTGAAAAATGGTTTGGTCGTCAGATATGATGATGGCACTTTTGTTACGAGTTGCCATGTCCGCGAAGGTTTGGTCGATGCTGAAGCCCTTGCAGATGACGGCCCGGTGGAGGTTGAGCTACCAATGCCTGAAAGGAGGTTGAGAACCAAGGCCCGGTTAGCACTGATCACCAACCCGTACGAGGACATCGAAGCCTACGCGAAGGAACTGGACGTTGAGGAAATGTATGAGCCCGGGGACGTGTTGAATCTTTGGGAGAAGCTGAAGACTATTCCGCGACCAACGAGAAGAGGCGCAAGGTCTATGGTGGTCAAGGACAACGGAGGTTCCTTCTATGCGGGCTGCTATACACATGGTGGCGTTTGTGGTATCATGAAGTTGACAAGGCAGCTACCAAATGTCACCGCGTACCTGGTGAAGGCGGCAAAGGAGATGACCGGGAATGGCAACTTTGGGAGTGTGGCCGTGGTAGAGACTGTGAGTATGGCACCGCACCGCGACAGTCACAATCAAGAGGGAACGCTCAACACCGTGACAGCCTTGACTGACTTCAGCAATGGTCAGGTATGGGCGGAAAAGAAGGAGGTGGACTACAGCCACGGCGATGTTTGGAGAGAAACAAGGCCCGGACAGTGGAAACGAGGAGTTCTACATGAATTAGCTCCAGGGAAGGCAGTGTCGTTTCCCCCTGGGCAATGGCATCAAACAGAGCCATGGGAAGGACGCCGAGTCGTCCTCCTCACCTACACCCCCCGCCTCACTCATTTGAGTGAAGAAAATGAGAAAGAGTTGCGGGGATTGGGCTTTGATCTACCGCCTCGGGAAGACAAACTACCACGTGCTGATGAGGATGAGGCCAGTCCATCGATGTTTACCCCACCTCGGGAGGAGGATGAGACTACGTGGTACTCAGGTTTGGCTAGGCTAAACGAGGATCAGAAGGATCTACTTGAAGAACTACAAGAACGGGCAACCACCTTGAGGCGCCTATTAGAAGAGGAAGAGATTCTTCTGAAAGAGTACCGTCGTATGGGGAGGCAAGTCACTGAGGAGGCAAGCCACACGCACCAGCTGCTCATTGACATGATTGAGCAAACGGCGGATGAGATCACCCGGGCCGAGCGAGAAGAAGCGACATGCTGTCTGAAGGGCATTATGTCTGAACCTTCGGAGGGACCGGATGTTGAGGACATAGAAAAGCACCTCAGTGAACTTGAAGGAGAACTACAAGTGGTCTTGAATGTGCCTTTGGATCAAGTCAAAAAGAACATCCAGGTGTGGCTTCCAGCCATTGACAAGGAGCTCGAGGTGCTGTTCAAGAAGGGAGGAAATGCCACGTTGAGGAAGATTCCCTTGAAGGAAGCAAAGGAACGTGAACGACGAGGCGAACTTACTATCGTGCCAAGCAAGCTTGTATTTACATGCAAGCCCCCAAATCAAGGAGAAGCACCCAAGGCCCAGGATGGGGCGACGCCAAAGGAAGGCAAGGCGAGATGGAGAAGGAAGTGTCGCCTTGTTCTGTGCGGCAATTTTGCCGAAAGACCAGAAGGACAAAGCCAGGCCGAGCTCTACGCTGCAGGAGCTTCAGCAGACTCCATGCGAGTAGCCCTTACCCTGGCGAGCGTTTGCTACTGGGCAGGGGCAGGCTCCGATATCAATGGAGCATTTCTTCTGGCTCCTTGGCCAAAGCACATGAGGAGATACGCGACAGTCCCGGCGAAGACATTCATCATGGCCAAAAGGGCTTCCGAGGATGAAGCATGGGAAGTCGATCGGGCATTATATGGCCTGAGGGAAAGCCCGGCTGTATGGAGTGACTTTAGAAGGCAGCGGCTCAAAGGAGCGAAGGTGCCGTGGAAAAACGGCCATCTGGTGCTCAAGGCCACCATAGTCGACCCGGAGGTCTGGATGATCCTCTACTGTGTCGAAGGAGCCTCGGACGTGCTGGCAGGCGTCTTGGTGACCTATGTAGATGATTTGTTGTATCTAGCTGAGGAGCAGGTCATCATCACCGTGCACGCGTGGCTTTGTGAAGAATGGCCGAGCAGCCCTCTGGAGTGGACAACAGATGGGACAAAGTACCTCGGGGTCGAGATTGTGCAAAGGGAAGGACATTTCCTAATCCCCCAACGTGGATACTTGGAAAGCTTGGTGAGGAGCTATGACTTGGAGCCTGGAGAGCATGTACATTTGCCGTGCCCTCGAGAATGGTTGGTTGATGATGGTGATGACGAGCAGGCCACCGATCAGGAGGAGTATACCCCTGAGGAGCTAAAACGAGCTCAGAAGGTCACGGGCGAACTCCTTTGGGTCACAAGGGCAAGGCCTGACATCCTGTTTGTGGTGACGATGATGGCATCAGCATTAACCAAACGTCCATGCCATGTTTACCGAGTGGGCATGAAGGTGATGGCATACTTGGCGGCATCTGTTGAAGTGCAGCTACAACTTGGAGGACGACAGCCGGTGCAGCAATCGCAGACAGCGGCAGCAGCAACAGACCCACAAGCACCACAACACTGCGCAAACATAAGGTTGAGGTTAGAGGGGTTTTCGGACGCGTCTTTCGCGCCGTTTGGAGGCAGATCCTACGGTGCCTCGGCAATCTCCCTGAACGGCTCAGTTGTTTCGTGGAAGTGCGGGAAGCAAGCCTTCACTACGATGTCGGTTGCAGAAGCAGAACTATACGAAGCAGCGCAGACAACCCTGCTGATGAAAGGAATTCACGCGTTGATCAGCGAGATTGTCAGCGAGGAGGTGCCCCAAGCGCTGTACGTGGACAACAGTGCCTCAGTATCCTTGATTGGAGGTTGTCAAGGGTCATGGCGGACACGTCACTTGAAAGTAAGATGTTCTTTCATCACCGACATGGTTCAGAAGGGTGAGCTGATGGTGAATCGCATCAGTGGACGGTTTCAGTTGGCAGATTTGCCAACAAAGCTACATGGAAAGGTTCGCCTTGCTGAACTTATGGGCCTTTGGGGATTCGTTGGCGGTCCCTTGGCAGGAATCAACAACAGGGTGAAAGTAGCGACCCTGCTGTATCTCATCGTGGCCTTGCAGGCCACACCTACAGAGGCTACAGAAGTGAAGGAGGCGGGCGAAAAAGGCGGCGTGAAGCTAGCTGGACTGGACGAGCTTACGCTCGTCACCTTGCTGGTTTGCATTGCCGCGGTCAGCATTTGGGAGCTGCTAAAGCGGATTACATGCTGGATGCTGGGAATCAGAGAAGAGACGACAAAAGAAAGGAGGCTTCGAAGACTCGAGACCTGGCGAGAACCGCAGCTCAGGAGGAGCTGGATCGCGAGTGCCTGAGGAGAGAAATCGAGGTCGAGACAGATGCCTGGCGCCGACCGTTGAAGGCCGTTGCCAGTGTCCCAGCACCAATCCCCGGACCGAGCATGAGATCTACGGCGGTGCAGACCCTACCAGTGCAAGAGCCCGAACCACGAGTTGTTTACAGAACCCAACTGGCACCTGAGGGAGTGCCAGTGAATCAGTTCTGGAAGACAACAGATCATCGTAGTCGGGTTCACACCAATCGAGATTGCCATGGCCTTCGTAATGCTGGAACGGTATTTTTGACTGAATACTGTAACTACTGCGAAGGTCGCCGTCCTTTGTTCACAAGACAGGGGTGAGGAGTGCAAGGATTTCCGGCTGTGACCTCGATGGAGACGTTGACACATTTAGATGCCAACATAAGGCCGTCTGGTTACGTGCTACAGATGCAAGGTTACTCGTGGAGCGAGTAAGCACCAACGATGGCTTCGCCTCTTTCCATGTAAAGTGTGGTTCATGCCGAGGGCAGGACCCAAGGAGGAGTGTTGAAGCTTCTGATGTGCATGTTTGGCTGACTCAAGCGTTTGTGAAGATTCACGTTAGGAGAAGGCCATCATGCATGATCTACGTAGACTCCAAACTTGCATGAAGATCATGCATACATGACGTTTGTTGCAGTCTGAGAAAAAATCGATCGTCCATGGGAAGCCTGTAAGCCCTTCTGGTGTCTCAAGCCTTCTACACATTCAGAGATACGGCAAAATACGGGTAGATATGAAGAGGTATTCTATTAGGGCATTCTGCAGGATATTCTGTAGGGTATTGGGTAAAAAATAACTGGTATTCTAGAAGGTCCATAGGCTCTGGGGTATTCAATGAGGTATATATGGGAGGAGTGTACAATGTATTTCCTAGGGAAATCTATATGACATTCTTAAGGTTTGTGGAAAGTGTAGATCGGTGCAGAACCCTCTTGATTTCCCAACCAGAATATGAATATTGTTGCCAAATAAAGGGTAGACGTAAGTATGCAAAATATGAGGTATATAGTATGATCAAAGCATGCCCGCAGTGGCAGGGGGGCTCCGGCTCAGAGCGGTAAACCCCTTGTTTATACGTCCTGGGCTGACGTGTCCCCCAAACCTCCCGTGGATATGGGGAGCCCTCATCTGGGGCCAGGCGCGCTCCGAAGAGCGTTCAGCGGAGATGGAGACGTACGACGAGGCCAGGGAATTCTTGTGACAGGAGCTCTTTTCTGATACCAAGAGTAAGTTAGCGGGACATGGACATTTCTTCGTGTCTTAGAGCATGACGTAGAGGACTGTCTTTTTTTTTAAGGCCGGGGTGGGAAGACCAGACTTCTTTGTTTGAAGGTTGGGGGGAGCTCCACCCCTTTTTCTTGGGCATACCCTCTCTTGGATTTTTGCAAAAGTAAAGGAAATAGTCAGGATGTCTTTCCCTTATTTATTTAGAAAGAAAGGAAGTCTTTTCTTGCCGATTCAGGGGTAGGTGGAGCTCTCTTTCTTTCTCGTGAAGT